AACATTAACATCAGCATAGGACGGCACACTAACAAGTATTTCTGTATCATTATCAGTTCCATTAAATGTTAATTGTTTAGCTAATTCGAGAATTGGATTTAAATGACCACGTTCAGGTGGAGCAATTAATAAAATATAATTATTAGCTATAAGAAAACTTCGTTATAAAAATAGATGATATGAAAAAGTTTATTTTCATTTTTTCTACTCAAGAGATTTAAAACAAACGAAATTAAGAACTCTCGAATCACAAACAGATATCTACAGAAAACGAAATACTAATGTTTTCATGTAATCAAACTTTGTAATATGATCAACTAATAGAAAAAGAACCCTCTCATTTCCAAATAAACATGATTTAATGACACGATACTATTTACATACATAATCTAAACATATATAGAAAGATGTTTGATCGCGTAGATAATCAAATATGTCTGTCAACGCAAAATAATGTTTGTCTTAATCGTTCAGAATATTTTAAGATCTACATTCTGTAAACTTATTATAGCTATTGATAGATCTTTGTACAAATATCGTAAGAAATATGAAAACATTGAAAATAAACGTACCTTCTTGAGAACATTCCACTCGATAAATAACTAATAATACCAACAAAAAGCCAAAGTTCGTCATCTTTTCTCCTCCATTATCTGGAATGAGATATAGATGATTTGAAATTTATTTTTGTCTTTTGTTAGACTTTATTTATTTTTATTCTTGTACTGAGAAATAACAAGGATAAAACACAATTTGATCAAGAGAAACAAAAATTGATTTAGGTTTTACAAATCACTTCTACATGACAAACAATAGAAAGAATAATAGAAAAAAATGTGTAGATGAACGTAAGATAGAATGACCAATATTGCCAAAAAAAAAGAGATGAGTTTATGTTCAATTGTTTACGATTGCAAATCCTTAAGCATGTTCTTCTTCTTCGCCCTCCGCACCTTCGCCTTCTTCTACAATACAAATCAAATACATAAATCTAACAAAAACAATAACAAAATTCAAAAAAACTAACCTTCGGCTGTTGCATCTTGATATTGTTGATATTCACTTACTAAATCATTCATATTTGATTCAGCTTCAGTGAATTCCTATAACATTAACAAAAAAAAAATACATTTTTCATCATATTATTTTCATCTATATTTTAACTTAACTTACCATTTCATCCATGCCTTCACCTGTATACCAATGTAAGAAAGCTTTTCGACGAAACATAGCAGTAAATTGTTCAGAAATACGTTTGAATAATTCTTGAATAGCTGTGCTATTACCTACAATTATATATATATATCACAATTATTTACACTCATAAAAAGATTTTGTTTATCTTTATCTTACCAATAAATGTAGCTGACATTTTTAGTCCACGAGGTGGAATATCACAAACAGCTGTTTTAACATTATTTGGAATCCATTCAACAAAATATGAAGAATTCTTATTTTGTACATTTAACATTTGTTCATCAACTTCTTTCATTGACATTCGACCACGAAACATTGCAGCAACAGTTAAATATCGACCATGTCGAGGATCACATGCAGCCATCATATTCTTAGCATCAAACATTTGTTGTGTAAGTTCAGGAACAGTTAATGCACGATATTGTTGTGATCCACGAGATGTTAATGGTGCGAAACCAGGCATAAAAAAATGTAAACGTGGAAATGGAACCATGTTTACAGCTAATTTACGTAAATCAGCATTTAATTGACCTATTTCAATTGAACAAAAAGAAAAAGAATAAAAATAATGATCAACCAAAAACAAAGAATTGATGATCTTTTACCTGGAAATCGAAGACATGTTGTTACACCAGACATGGTAGCTGAAACTAAATGATTAAGATCACC